ATTTGCAAGCAGTGTGTCTTGCTATGTCTTAAAACAAGCCTGGAAAATTAATGTCACAGAACTATTTGTGAAGTCCTTTAAATTGGCCTGTAATCCATACCAGCTGGTGCACTTTTCCATTTCTCTGCAAAGAGTGTTTGTCAGATGGAACCCAAGCTAAGAGTAGTCATCTTCAGAATGGGAATACTGTGTATGGTATGGATTGTGATGTTTTTTGTACAGTCAATGATGACTGGGCTGAAACGATCAACCTGAGAATCCGGTTTAATTCACGGACCATTGCCTGGATTCAAACTCTGAATCTCAGCTTCACAGGCTTTGTGTTTTGACGTGGTATTATCTCCCTGAAGCCACTCAACCACCTCCAGCCAAAAATATATCTCGATTGTGTCACTCCAATATGTTCCCTAAAACTTTTCCTCTCCACTCGTCTTGTATGTTGTGCACATTCAAAGATGACAATTTCAGACATGGTTGTGATTAAATTAACATTACTACCTCTATTCACAATGTCCTCTTCATATTTATATTTACATATATATCTAAAAGGGACATTTGTGAATTTGTGTTTGTTCAAAATGTTTAGCATACTTCCCGACATGCAACAAACTTGAAATTTGGAATGTGGGTACTTTCCAGACTGTACACCATGCAAAAAATGCATATATTTTGCACGGCAAGTGAGCTGTGACGTCACATCTGTCATGTCACCCGCATGCGGAAGCGTAACGCAGTGTGCCTGCTGATGCCACGCATCCCCCCCCCCCCAACTCACTGCGAGTAAAGTGCCATACAAATGTGTTGCATGTCTAAGGCGTTCTTCGCGCAGCATCGCTTTATTATTTCAGTCGTTCACTGCCGTACGCACCCTGAAAGTTGTGTGTGTCTGCTGCAAGTGCGTGTATGTGTACCATTGGACGCACGTGTGTGTGGGGGGAGCGGTAGTGTAATGGTTAGCGCGCTGCGCTACGGAACCCGGTGACCCGAGTTTGATTCCCGTTCACGGCCAATACTGGTGACAATTATTTGAACCGGTCCTGGGCCTCCCCTAGGTCGACTCAGCATCAAACGAGTAACTCGTGTGGTGTGTGAACATCGCCATTGGGGGGACAAAGGCATGGTGAATCCCAGTCCCGGGCAAAGCCAGGTAGTAAATAAAGCTAGTCTATATATATATTTATAAAAGGGAAGTTTGTGAATGTGTGTCTGTTCTAATTTTTTAGCATACTTCCCGACATGCAACAAACTTGAAATTTGGCATGTGGGTAGTTTCCAGACTGTACACAATGCAAAAAGTATAAAAATAGACTTTTGTATTTTGGGGGGGGGGGGCGCAATAATGGATATATTTTGCACGGCAAGTGAGCGGTGACGTCACATATGTGATGTCACCAGCGCTACGCAGTGTGCCTGCTGACGTCACGCAGTGTGCCTGCTGACGTCACGCATCCCCCCCTCCAACCCTCCACGTAGGCCGTGTATCCCGCACAAATGCGTGGCATAGCTAGTCTGCAATAAAGATGTCACAACCCCATTGCAACAGGAGGAGACGTAAGACCAGATGGTGGGATACTGTTAGGGCAGATCTTAGGGGTCGCTTGTCTGTTGCGCAGCAGCTGCGGTATCTGGCAGAGGGTATAAAGTGTTGGCAAGGTGTGGTGATGTAAGCAGTGGCTTTGGCATTAAGAATAAAAATTAGCATGTAGAAAGTGCCATTCACAAAAAAAGATATCTTGAATCTCAATCCTAATCACTGTTCGTGTTTGTTTTAACGAAGCTCACCTTAAGGCCTCATTGTTTAAAACGTAACTACAATCCCACAATAAAGGTCTGAGCTAACCCACATGCTCCACGTTCATCGGTTGCAATTGACTAATTGTCGTTAATGGTAAAAATATGTAAGCAGGAACTCCTTTCCGTATTTCCATATGTAAATAAAATAAATGTTTAATCCATGGACTTACTGGCTTTTGAGACCACTATTATTCAGCAACTCTGGACCTGTTCTTTGGGTTTACTTCTGTTCCCACCCCATCCGTGGTTTTAGTGAACGCAGAGGTGATCGCAACAATGAAGATAGAAAACACATTAAATGAACATGGTTGAAATTGTTATTGGTCAATGATCCTTGACATATCCGAGCAGAACGCTGACGCAACGAGATGTTGTTGTACTGTGCTTCGACAGTGATGTGCACAATACAGTCAGTTGTGAGAAGGAAATGAAGTCGTACTATGGAAATGCGAAGTACTGTATAATTGACACATAACAATAGACGGTATGTGTTAATACATGAAACATTGTTTACAGCTACCTGCAACAGGCATCCCTCTAAATTTTCTCAATTTCATGACGCTGCAAAGAACAATTCTCGTTATTGTCAGTAGCCACCAACTGAAAATGGGAAGCCTCAAAATCATGGATGAGATAACTGATACTCTCATTTGCCTTTAACGATACTCCTGCATTGTTTGTGTAATTTGGTTTCTATACAGATTTTTACTAGCTAAGAGGGAAAAGGCTAATGCCAGATAATAGTTTTTTTCTGGAGTGTATAGTGACAAAAAGGTGCTCTTTCACAATTACCATTTGCAATTATGAATGCTATTACAGCCTTTGTTAAACAAACCAGATGAAATTAATCCCTGGACTGAGGTATACTGCGTAAAGAAAAAATTATCCAAACCATAAAGGGTGCCTGAAATGGAATATGATTTAGTGTTCACTTGGCTTGGTAAACATAATTATTGTTTTATGCTCGTTTACCTGGTAGTCTCAACACGCGTTTTCAGGAGGGTGCTGCCAATGGAAGACATGTTGCTGTGTGCAATTCAAATTGCGTAAATTGCAGGTAATATTTTAGCATTGGGATGTTTGGCCAATTCCAGCCACGTTGCATGATTTTAACTTATAGAAACCCATGCAGAACAGGGAGAGAACATGCAAACTACACACAGGAATGCATCTGGGTTGGGAATTGAACCCAGGTACTTCTTACTGTGCGGCACAAGTGTAAGGAAGGGGTGTAACGGTGGTGAGATGTTAACGCCCTCGCCTGGTATGCAGGAGGTCGTGGGTTTCGATCCCTATCCCAACCCTGACGCTTGTATATTTGGAGTTTGCATTTTCTCCCAGTGGTTGCAGGTCCTCCGGTTTTTCCCTCCACATTTAGAAACTTGCGTTTAGAGTATTTGCAATACATTTCCACATGATAAGCCACTTCGTTGAGCTATCATTTGTGGCCAGGTCGCTTCTGATAAAGAGCTATATAGCTCACTAGGTCTCACCTGGTAAAAAATAAAAAAAAGTTGTTTTGTTTAGTCTTTTTTTATAACCACTGCTACCACCCTGCTTCTTAGTTTACTAACAACTGCGATTAAAACCAAATAACCACTGTGGAATGATCATTTGCATCAATGCCACTATTAAATCGATTCCCATTTGGTATAAAAATCATGCATATGCATGGTTTACGCAAAGCTTGCCAACATGTGTGTGTCCTGAGAAGGAGTACTTCTTGATAATGTCACGTTTCGCCCTGCAAAACGAGGTGATGTCACAAGTAATTACGTCATTGGGAGGGGGAGGGGAGGTGCCTTCACGTGGTGACGTCGCAAGATGACGTCACATGGAACAGCATCTATATTACTTGGTTCTTTCGGAAAAGTCAAGTAGAAAATAATAATAAAATGACTAAAAAAGAAAATAATAAAAAAGCAAAAAACACTCATTTGTTTCACTTTGACACCATTGGAACCTCATTTGCCAGTAAAAAATATGATAATTGTTTTTTTACCCTTCTATCTGGCAACAAAACTGACACGTTTTTTTACAAGGAGTCATGTTAGCATAGACCACAATACCTGCAGCCATAATGCAAACTCTGATAATATATGCACTGTCCTTGAAGTTGATTGGTCCACACCCGAGACAGCTTTCCTTAGAGCCTAGTCTCACATGGGTTGGACCAGATGACGCCAAAATATTAAAAAATATATATATATAATTGCTATGCTATGTAAATAAAAACAACAATTTGCACCTGGCCAAGGTTTCTATCGACGTGACTTTACCGAAAGAACCAAATAATATGAATTCCTGCAGTCACAAAAGTTTTAAGTCAATATGTAACAGCATCATTCGTGGGGGAGAAGAGGCATGTGCTTCCTTTGAGCACTAATTACAAAAAAAATCGCAATTATCTTTTTATCTCCATGTTTGGAGAAACTCTTTGATTAATTTCGCCAGTTTCTACAGCATAAGTCCTTATTAGTGAAGCAACCTCAAAATTAAGTTCAATTAACAATAAATCATCTTTACAATGGAAATTGTCCCCCCCCCCCCGCCACCTCCTCCGTTCCAGACTGACACGCGGAAATAGATCATCTATTAGCACTTTAAACCTTTGTTTGAAAGTGTTTTTTAAAAAAGGTAATTTATATTGGAAGCTACAATAGCTTCACTTTTATAAGGCACACCGTACATACCGAGTGAATTGAAAACAAAGAAGATAATTGAACAGGAATTTTAACATTAATTTTAAGTCTTCCTCAAAAAAAATTAAACTTGCCAAGATTTTTCTTCATAATTGGCACTTGTTCATCGGGTATAAAATGGAATAATTGTTTAGCTTTTTTCCATGTCGAAAGTAAAATAGGTTACTGCATAGTTATTTTCATAATGCACTGCTATTTATTACACTGAAGCACGCTGAAAACAGTTGAAACGGTTTTCTTTTGTGCGTTTAATGAACAAATACATTTGGAATCTATTACACATATGTCGAGCATTTAGGGTAGTGTGGGCAATAAAAAAGCAGCGCAAGTCACGTGTGTTATGTGGGCGGGATAATAAATTGCTGTAAACCGAGCGTCTTAAAAAGAAAATGTAAAAAAAGTAATATTGGTTGAGTGACATTGCAATGCCTTCAGCCAGGTGCCATGGTTTTATCATTAAAACATGTCCCTTTGCTCTATTTCTATTTTTCCCATCCGTCGCAGTCCCCTGAGCTGGTGAATACTGCACTCCTGACAGGTCGCCCGGTGACGATCCCTTTAAGAGTTGTTGCCGTTGAAGCCAATGGACAGGTGTCAGACGTTTCCCAGCGAGCTCGCTGCCATTCAGGTGACGTTGACGTCATTAAGGTACGTGCCCCCCCCCCCCCCCATTGTGATTGCAAAGGAAACAAATAAAACGCGGAAGCCAAGGCCGTAGCCATGGAGTCAACATTGGGGAGACCAAATCTTCCAGGGTGTCTAGGGGTCCCCCCCCCCCCCAGAAAAAAAAATTTTGAAAACGAATTTCCTACCTAAAATATTTACAAAAATCACTAACACATGCGATGGACTTTTCATTAATTTTTTACAATAATGTCTAATAGTGTATTGTATTACATTGCTGTTTTTTTACCTTTTCTTGTTTCGATGTATGTAATGGCAGAGATTAGGCATTCATAAAGTACAACCATAACCACAACCATATAACCAGAAATCGATGCATTGTTATATGAAGACAAGTCCAGATATTGTGGCCAAGGTTTAGCAAATTTTGGTTTTTATTTACATAGCAATTTTTTTGTATATTGTTGATAGCAATATATTGGGGGGGGGGGGGACATTTTGAGCATATTTGGTGGCAACTGTCGTGGATTCCTAAGTTGGCTGCGCTTCCGCGTTAGAGTACGTTTCCCGTGGAATGAAGATTGTAAATACTTCAGCATTGTGTTCGCTCCTTGTTGATGTTATTCCGTAAATGTTTGTTTACACCGTAATGTGTCGAGCACAAACATTTAATTTGCCGTTGTAGCTGTGACAGTAGCTTCGAAATAAAGCTGAAATAGTTTTAATTATGTATGCTCAAATTAATTTGAAGCTTTCGTCACAAGGAATTACTCTTTAGTTATTTCGGTAAAGTCACGTTGAAAGAAAATAAATTAAATAATAGAATACGACGTTTCGATTGCAACACAAGCAGTCGTCGTCAGGTAGAACTAAATTTGTGTTATCTCTCTCTCTCTCTGCTTGTGTGTCTGTCTGTGTGTCTCCGTGTCTGTGTTTTGTGTCTCTCTCAAATTTAGTTCTACCTGATGATGACTGCTTGTGTTGCAATCGAAACGTTGTATTCTATTATTTAATTTATTTTCTTTCTACGAGACTTTACCGAAAGAACCAAAGAGTATGTTCAACTTATTTTACACTGTTACGTAGCCAACCGTGCTAATCAATACATTTTCTAAATTAAAATATGGTGCAAGAATAGTTGACATTATATGCTGTGTTTAGTGACACGTATTTTTCTCTGGTAGCTGTGTATATTCGGAACTTAAATGTACTGTGTTTGTGCTCATTGTACGGACGATTTTTCATCAGGAACTTTTCTTTATGTTCATTTCTTGTTTTGGTAATTTTTCAGAACGCCGTTGAAATATAAACAATCATTTTTCACGCAGGCACGAGCAATCCGTAATATAGCCCAACACGTAATGAATTTAGTATTAAAGTGCAGCTGTGAAGGTGACTGATTAAAACAAGCAATGCCTACCTCTATATAGGTACACTGCCAAGCATTCTGTTGCCCAGTTTAGCATAAGTTTAAAACATATTTTGTATTGGTGATATGCGCACAAAACATTCCTATTTTTTTAATTGTCAGTATTTGTTTTAGATTCGTATCATAATAATTTTATTTTGCTCTACTTCAAGGGAGTTTTACCACCCTTCTCCATATGTTTAAGTCTATTGTAATTTTTTATCAAAGAATGTTACGATCATCACTATCTATCCTACATATGACATCAATGCCATGTATAGTGCATTGGCGCAGTGGTCAGCGTACTGCACTACAAAGTTGGTGATCCGAGCCGAGATAAATTCATGGCCACGGTTAACGTGGGGTGCAAAGTGATATTAGCACCGAGTTCTGAGCACCACCTTCATCAGCAAACCCACACTGACCAGCGTGATGACATATAGCCAAACAACCCCTATGACTAACATTGCATGGATAGGCCTTTTTTCCAGGAGTATGCATTCACACGCTCCAAAGAATACATGAAATGAATATAGAATGTTATTTTTTGTTAATTGCAACTACATTTTAAAAAACCCAAGTAAGCTCATGATTTCTATTACTCGAATTATTGTTAAACACTTAACGTGTCTCCATGGATAATAATGTTAAATGGGGCATTACCGTACAGAACATTCTGCCTTGCCTTTAGACACTGGCTGTTATGAATTATAAGTTTAGACTGACTGACATACAAGTTCACCGAGCGTGTGTAGTTTTTAACAAAACATTTTTTTCCAGGAATAAAACAAATGACAACCTTTCAGCCAACCGACCTCCACTGTAAATATCCGTGCTACAAAGACTGTACCAATGAGTGCCAAAAGCCCAAAGTGGAAATCCATTGTGAGGCTGTTGCAGTCTATAATTAGGCATGCAAATCAAATACAGACATGTCACTCACTATTAAAGAATTATAATTTCCAGTTTGAGCTATGCCCATCAAACTAAATACACACAAATACTTGGTAGCGTTGATTGTATGAGTTTCATTTATCTCAGCCTTCACCATGGTATTAGCGGAACACATCGCATTTCAGTGTCCCCAGATGTTTGTCACCACCTCAGCTGTGGTTGTTCAGAACGCTGCTGTTATCTGCTTTTGAAGATCCCTCAAGGTTGTAGGAATTGTTTTTTTTGCTGAATACTTACACTTTTCGCAAAACCAACTGTTCCACCACGCGGTTCAAACCGTTGGTTGATTGCAGCCATTTAATAACTGTTAGACGTCTGCGTACACCATGTATATGGGTGTTATTACCGGCAGAACGTTGTACTTGAATTGTAAATGTTGTGGGTTTACTCTCCAACACACCGGTGTGCTGAACAAGTAACAAATTGGCATGTTTTGTTTACGTTACAAACCTTACTAATTGGTTGTGTCAGGTGGTGGCGGGTTTAACGGCACGTTTATGTTTATATTCCAGGCTCGATTTAACATAGTGCATAAAATTCGTGATCCGATCCCATCTGTGAAGGATATGATCCCTGACATACAATACCCTGGCGTCTACAAACTAAGCGGTGTCTGCGACAGTAGTTTCATTGGGGAAACTAAGCGACATGTCTCAGACCGTGTTCGTGAGCATAAGGCAGATTTTAAACACGGTAGGACCAACACGTCGGATGTGGCTGATCATTGTTTTAATGCGGTTGGCTCACACGAAATACATTTTTCAAGACGAAGGTACTTTGTAAGCCCACTGGCTATCAACAAAGATTCGTTCATGAAGCCATCCATATATACAGACACAGACACAATTTCAACCGAGAGGGTGGGTACAAACTCAGCAATCATTGGAAAGAAGTCATCAACCAGTTTAAGTCATAACTGGCTGTGATGTTCCCATCCTGCCACCTTCCAATGTTAGTTTTTTCCCCGTGGCTTCGGCTCTCCGATTTCACATTAACAGGTTGAATTTCTCGTGCCAACGTGACCACCTCCAGACGCCGACCTCTACGTCACGGTGGCTCTGCGATCTCCCATTAACACGCAAATCTCTCCCATTAACATGCTAATCTCTCCCATTAACATGCTAATCTCGCACATTAACATGCTAATCTCTCACATTAACATGACTAGCCCCGCCCACTTCGAATATGACCCTCGAACTACACCCAATAAAACAGTCTGCATTCAGCGGCTTTCCTCCTCTTTCCTCCTGATGACGATCGCTTGTGTTGTGATCGAAACCTCGTAGTTTTTTGTTTATTTTATATTTATTATTTGTATGAATTTGTACCTATCTACGTGACTTTACTGAAAGACCCAAAGAATATGAATTCCTGCAGTCGCGAAAGCTTTAAGTCAACATTTATACCATTGGAATCTCATTTGCCAGTCAAAAATATGATAATTGTTTTTTTATTGTTTTTTTTCTGGTCCAACCCATGTGAGACTAGGCTCAAGGAAAGCTGTCTCGGGTGTGGACCAATCAACTTCAAGGACAGTGCATATATTATCAGAGTTATGTTTTTTGTTTGCATTATGGCTGCAGGTATTGTGGTATATGCAAACATGACTCCTTGTAAAAAAAAAAGGTGTCAGTTTTGTTTGCCAGATATAAGGGTAAAAAAACAATTATCAACATCTATATTTACGCAATCTAACCAAAACAAACCTCTATTATGGACAAGTAGTGAGGGATAAGTACATACAAAGATATATTATTAATTACGGTACATGTACATTATACATTCGCAAAATACCACGACTGGTGGCACTAAAGCACAAACAATGTGTTTATATTACATCACTGCCAAATACTGCCTGCTCACATAAAAACTTTTAAAAATGTCAAAAAGAGACATGTTTTCTTCATAAGTGTTTTTCAGTCAGGACTCGGTATTCTAGTTCTGACTTAATGCAATGACCCCAGTTCATGACCTACATTCAGAAAAATAAACCATCCAGTGCATGGGCTACAACAAAGAAGAATGCTAAGTGTGTTGTTTCAAACCCACGAAGAGCCACTATGCTTATAGTAATGCTGCTGGAGAAACCTCACTCCAATGCGAGAATAAAGCTTCAAAATGCGTTTTGGTCACTTTATTTTAGCTGGTCAACACGGGTTGGTGAAGAGTTTCCCACAAAATGGTTCAGATAATCACTCGCAACCAATGTTAACCACGGCTGGAAATTAAACTCGGGTCACCAGGTTTACAGCGCCATGCTTTACCCACTGCACCATCACTCAACGCCCCCATTTTTACTCCAATGCACTCTATCTATTTTTCATAATTGAGATATAATAGCTTAATCTATTTTCATTCAATTTGCATCTGTTTCAAAAACACATCTCTCAGTTCTCGAATGTTTTTTTGTAATGCTATTATTGTTAATTCATCTATTCTACCTGATGGCAATTTTCTCATACCACGGGCACGTGTGTATCGTGAAAGTGGATACAAGAATTGGGCATTCAAAGCACATCCCAAGAAATGCAAATAATTTTGTGTCACGCTTGAAATAGCGCTTGGAGCAATAGGAATTCATGAGAAGGCTCTTCTTACCGCCTTGCAGTTGAATACAGCACCAGAAAGTCAACAGAGATATATATTTTTCAGCATTTATTGA